TGGGGTACTACATAAAAGTCGTAAACGATAGAAAAAAATTGGAGCTGTTTTAAGGTAAATCTGATTCGACAAATTTACCCAATCTTTCTTTTTCGATGTTAGGCGAAAAAATTCAATTTTAAAACATGTATTTAGGTCTTGTTACAATACTTCAATTATGTCCTCATGCGCCAAAAGCTTGCCAAGTTATGCGCATTAGATTATATTTTAAATAAAGTTGTAGTAGAGTAACATTTTATTATGAATCATAGTATTTCAGACCGGTATGGGATATCGAAAGCTAATACCTTGTGAACAAGGAAGGCGCGAAGCCGTAAAACATTAACAAGAACAAAACAAATTAGTGTTAAAAAATCACTGTACACATTCCACATACACTTTGTACATGAAGAATATATCGCAGTGTTTAAAATATATATCCGAACTAGATCATAACTTTGTAATGAAAAATCGTATGGTAATACGTAAACGTAATCCTTTAGTGTTTTTATCTAATAGGAGGCAAACGGGCAGGAGGCTCACCTGATGTTAAGTGATACCGCCGCCCATGGACACTCACAATGCCAGAAGGCTCGCAAGTGCGTTGCCGGCCTTTCAAGAATTGGTACGCTCTTTTCTTGAAGGACCCTAAGTCGAATTGGTTCGGAAATACTTCAGTGGGCAGCTGGTTCCACATAGTTTCTTAGAAATTAAAAAATATTACTATAATTCTATTCTACTTCTACTATATTTAAATTCTTTTTTACACACCTTTGCGTCATACATTTTGCACATAAATCAAATAAAGTATCTCAAAGTAAATACTAATGTTATCAAAAAGATCACAAGTCTCGCAACTCCGGTCTTCTACAGTAAAAAGTTGTGAGATCCACGTAATACCAAGTCGGATAATTTATTCAGTTTCTACTTAAGGACGCTTGTCTTTACCACGTAATTAGCTATCCTAACAACTTCTCATAGTGACCATATCGATAATAAAAATCTTATAGGTTTTAAATAAATATATTGACTTGGCAATCACACTAAACAATATAATTTAATATATTAATAATTATTATTCGTAATTATATTGCGAAATACTTTTTTTTATGCAATACCAATTTCAGAAGTGTAAGATTAATCTATCTTTGAATACCTACTATTATTTATTTAATATAATTTCTTTTTTTAAGACTTTTTACCTATCAATAGGTTTTTGTCGTATCTTGCTTAACGATTTTAAGTTCCTTGCTATTACTAATTTCATCAATACAAATTCTCTATTGATCTATGTTTCCCCTAAATCTTTCAGACGGGCCCACGTATAGGAAATAGTATACCAAGAACTCTTTCTATGGTGTATTTATTTCCTATTTCTTTTAACTCCGCAAACAAAGAAGCTAAAAGGATTAACTTAAACTTGTTAGAGGGTAGATGCTAATTAGGACATCCTAGTATTATCGCGTTTGCTATTTGCAGTTCCAAAGTAATATTTTAAAAGCCAGAAAAGTGACTGGTAGGTAGTGGCTCAATGGTGAAGCTCTTGATTTTACGTTTGATTGCAGTTGTAATACTTTTTGTTTCGGGTTGGAAAGCCTAATGTTTCGTAGATAAAGTCTCAAGGCTTTTTAATAACAATGAGAATAATAATAACAGCAAGTTTAATTTCCAATCATTACAAAAAATAGTAAACAGCTAAGATTTTTTACATTCTATACATTATTTTTCTTGTTATTCTTTATGTCCTATTTCCTAGCTACCTTTAGTACCGTGGTCGGAACCCCTTCAAGGGCAAAGGCCTCCTCCAGCTTTTTCAAACTAACTCTGTTCTTTCCTTTTTCTGCTACCCCTATTTTATTGCCAAGGATGAGAATAAGGTATCGAAAATTGAGAATAAAACATATTTCTCTTACCTGCCTAGTTATAAAAAAAATTGTTCATGTTTACAAAAAGCTTTGTTGATTATCCTCAAAATCTGAAATCAATTTGAATATTTGCGTAACGTCATTGTTAACGATGCATCGTAATCTTCTATTATAATTCTTAGAGGAAGGAATTTTAGCATTTTTACTGCTTCAGGTTCAAACTTATCCAAAACATTCTTTACCTTAATACTTATCGATTAGATTTATTATGAAGCAGTTTTAACATTAGTTACAAATCAAATTAGAAAATTTGGGACTGGATATATACCGGCAATTAATACGGGACTACGAAAAGAATTTGTGATTAGCGATGAACGTGCAATGTGCACTTAGAAAAGCATAGCAAAAACTACACTAAATTGCAGCATTGTTCTCTAAGTAGGTGCACCGTGCACACCAGTAAAACTATTATCTTATTATACAAGTACGTCATCTATTTGCCGACATAGAACTAGAAAAACGTGCATTCGAAGCTTAACATTATCTTAATTATTACAATGAGTTTTGTGATTAACCTACCTTTATCGGAGCATTTTTGGTTTACTTATCAGTTTTTACACAACACTAATAACTTAACACATTAGTTTATCGGATTAATTGTGAAACACTGCGTCAATAATTTATAACGTCTCTTTTGAAAATAAATACAACCGAATTTTCGTAAAAAAAATCGCGCTCTCGACGCGTAACGCTACAGCAACGGCGCGCGTTCAACTGAGGAGTGAGGCGCAGATAAAATAGTCGCAGGCATTCCATTTTACGTTTGACATTTCTGAATGCAACGGTGCGCGAACGCCGAACAGGTAATATTCTTATAAGTACCAATACATTGCGGGCTTACTGTTACATACATTAGTAGTAATCAATAAACAACGCAATGTATACCTAGTAAATACGTTATCACCTGCACTGAATGAGATTACTGATTGACAGGTAAGTAGACTACCACATTCTAGACAAAAATGCGTGCGTTTTTCACTCGATATTATTAGTTATTACTGTAATTGTTACCCACCTGAATAGTATTTTATTTTTGGAGTTTACTCCTTAAGAAACGATTTGAGTTATAAGGCCCGGTACGGAAATTTTATGAGGAGTAAAATCAAGTGTAACACGAAAAGTTGAGGCGTTATGTGTAACACGAAAAGTTGAGGCGTTATGTGTAACACGAAAAGTTGAGGCGTTATGTAGAAAGAGACAAATGGATTGAACGTGTAAAAGAATGAGATGGAATACATTACACAGACTTTTCTATTTTTAATTCACGTTTTGACAGCCACGTTACAACATTGTCAGTGTTGACAGGTGTAAAAAATAAAAGTAGATTGTCTAGCGTGCCATAGAGTTTTGTCAATAGTAATGGTCAGTGAAATTAAAACTAAAAAACTAAAAAGATTGTTCATTCTTATTCTTCTCTTACTATAAAGGTAACTTTGGTCACAGAAAGAAAATCCTATTTGGGCATAGATGATGTAGGTACGTTTTATTACTACTACAAACATTTATATTATAAAAACATATATTCTTACCACCTTTAGTATGAAAATATGGTCGACAGCCACAGAACATTATCGCCATTTTATCGTACGTAAGGAGTAAACTCCAATCGTGCGTCGTAGCTGACAAACACACACTTTTTTTTATGGTAACAACGAATCAAACAATAATTCATGTATAAATAATATCTGAAAATAAATAAAACACAAAATATTTCTTAATTATTTATTCACAATATTTAGTACAATAATTAGTTATACTAACAAGAAAAAATATCTTGCTAGACCTGAATATAAATAAGTATAGTGATATGCCTTTTACGCTTAAAATTGAGATTAAATCTCATACATCAGATTTAATATCAGAAAAAATTACCTCCGACAATTTTAAGTATTTATTTAGCAGTTGATTTTCCGTACTTGCTCGCTCAATCTCAATTCAAGTAGATATGTTTACTTTAAAATCATAAAATGGCGTGGAAAATTTTTTTTTCGAAATTAAAACTGGCGTAAAATGTCGTTTGTGCGTTCAGGCTATATACATAGATAAAAGAAAATCTTTACAATAAATACAGTATTTGTCACTAGGAAAATTCTTGAACATTACGATACTCTTATTAATACTATCTTTTTTATTGTAATTAGTAATGACGGAAGATTCTAGAAATAATTATATTGAGCCGAGTTATATACAATATAAAAGTTTAAATTTGAGCAAATCACTATTTTTAAATAAATATTAATATAAAAAATTAAATATTTTTGTTCTTTGATTGTCTACGACTACTTATAACTACAATTTACTTATTAAAATTGTATAGGAATATAAATTATTAAGTACAGTAATAATTGATATGACCTATTCTATTTCTTTGGCTTATATACATTATAATTGTTACGAAAAGATCGCTAAATATTTAAATAGTTAATTAAAAAACCGCGTAAAGCAAATATGGTTTATAGTTTTTTTTTAATATGACCATAGATACAAGTACTTCAGTCAAAATGCTGTAATTATTAATCGTAAACCTTTTTAACCTTTAAACGTTTTTCAAAGCGCTACGAAAAATAAAATCTATTTAATTTAATAAATATATTTTTAAATAAGCCATTTCTGACGAAATATTATAATAACAATAATATTATTGATTTGTAGGAATCAGTAGAACTTGTAATTTCATGATTAATTCGTTGGACGACGCATTCAGTGGTTTTGAATAAAGTATAAATTGATGATAAATTTGTGTTTTATGACTTCTTTATTCAAAAAGTTCAATATTAAAAAGCGATTATATAATATAATTTACTTAAAACACCATGTCATCTGAAACTGGCCGTTACAATTGGGGCTTTGGGCTACACTGTTACTTTTATAGGTCAACGAAGATTTTTTTTATTAGTTCGTTCGGATAGTTTAGTCATGGTTTAAAATTGTGTTTGTTCCGCGTTTGCCTTAACTGAATGTACAGGCTAAGATAAGCCTGAAGCAATTTTGCTCCTTTTCTTATTCCCCGTATGTATTTTTGTAAAGATGTTTTGAAACTTAAAAATACTTGGCAATAACCGGTCTTGTTTAAATAAAATTACTCAGAAACAATAATTATCTTCCCGTATCCCTCCGTAGAATTCGGTTTACCCTATAAATTCTATTTTTAACAGTTTCTATCGGTGCTCTACGTAAAAGCCTTGTTGCAGCTACTCGTGTCATGGCGGCTTTGAGACTCTGTGGGGACAAAATGGCGGGCGTTTCGATTTTAGATATGTCTGTGGTCAAGATGGCGCCATCTGACAGCATTGCGTCAATGTCACCGTTCAACATAGCTATGGAATCTGACGATGTGAAGTTTGATATTGGTGTGCAGAGTGGGATGGCGTTGGACCATTTCCTATTTCTGTAAAAAAGGCATCAAATTAGTTTTTTTAAGTTTGCATCTAGACATTAATGAGTCTGACTCATTTTTATAACTAACTATTTCATATAATAAACGGCTCAAATATAAGTCTTTCCTCCAACTTCGACTTTGTTTCCTTTGGAGTAGACACTCTTGGGCCGTGAGGTTCAAGTGCACAGGCCCAAATTAAAGATTTAAGTTGACGCCTGGTAGATATACCGGTAACCCCAAAGCTAGGCTACTCGCTACGCTAAGCTACTAATACTACGAGGAAATTCTGCCACAGGGTTTTAAATTTGTTTTAACTTTCTTTTTATTAATTTTTAATTATTTTTATTATTAGAATGTAGGTTAAGAAAATTGTAAATACTATATATTTGATTGTAATGTTTAGAATTAAATAAACGATTAAACAATATTTAACTAATAATATTCTTTATGTTAAATCCAATACGTTTTTAACACACGGAACATACATTACTGGGGTTAATTTATATATTTCGTGTGTACCAAACTTAAAGCTAACATAACAAAAAACAATAACTAACCTTAAAATATAATAACTAAAATATATTATTTAAAGGAGTCCCTTTAGACAAGATACTGTCAGCGTTCCCCCTTTGAATAGCTAGACTAAATCTTTGTCCGAGGTAGCTGCCACCTCTTCGGTCTCCTGTGATGTCGACTAACCTTTTTGCTATCGGGTATCGACACCGAATGGGACAAAATCATATTCGGAGCCTAGACCCCTGTAGGCCGCAAACTTGAACTTATTGTCGTTGATATCGAATACGGCTTGAATTTCCAACAGTACAATTATAAGCATTAACTTACTTCAGGCATCTTAACATTGGCGCTCCCTTGATTCTGTATCCAGGTTCACACGTAAAGGAAACAGTTTCCCCGATCTTATAGTAGAACTTGACAGATGACATTCGACCGGATATTGTCGTTCCCGGATACGTGCACGCTTGAGCACCTGTAAAATTATCGACGTGATTAAAAACTACTCTATTTCTAAGAGTTTAAAATATATGGGGGCCGATGGCCATGCGTCATACTCGTGAACGAGTGCTACTTGTGGTGATTGGTCGGACTTGAATTCGTGTATGCGGTGATCTTAGTTATTTCGACTACGTATTTGCGTGTTGTTCCCACGAGAATGCGAGCTCCTATTTCACCATTCCTGCTGATAGAGGACAAATCTTTGTTTTTTTAACTATTAATTACTTAAAGATATCATATGGTACATGGTGTAATGGTTTCAGTTCCTTACAAACATTGTGTAAAACTAAAGGCAGTTCTTTTCGTCCGTTCTTGGCCATCGATTTGAGAACTGACAGTAAATGTAAAATTAGAAGCATCTTTATTGACGTTCATACATAATACATTGTGTTACCAAAATTAATAAATGATTTTGAATTTATGTTTTTTTAACGTATACCTACGCGAAGTTAACTACAACAAAACATATGGAATAAAAACATAATTTGTTTTATACGCAATTATAAGAAACAAAAATTAAAATATATTTTTTTTAATTCGAAGGAAGAAGTGAAGAAGCTCAGTGTTGTTAAAAATTTCAATTTTTAACTACAATTCTGTGTACTAAATTCAAAGGCGTCAAACTTCTGGATAAAACTAATGTTTTACTAATGTACCAGATGAACAACTAGTCATAATGTAATCAAGTACCAACATCAAGTAATACTTACTGTCGTTATACTTACAAGTGGGGGGCTTGTCACTCCACCTGCCGCTGTCCTGGCACACCAGAATGGGTCTGCCGTGCAGGGTGTGTTCTGGATTGCAGTGAAATTGCAGGACATCACCAGCGCGGTATGGAGCCCGACCTAGGACGTATCCTGATGCAGGGGGTGGAAGGGCGGGGCAGGATACCTCTGGAATAAGATAAAACAAGATTAGATTTATGATAACTTATAACCTCTACGCTGAAATCTATAAATCGAGATTATTATTATTATTAGTAGGTTATATTGCTATGAATACGGGTAGAATGAAATGTTTCTGGAATTTTCTACAACTTAGGGACTTTTTTTTTTAATGGCTCTGGCACGATTTGTGCATTAGCCAGCGGCAAGTATAGGATTTTTTTTTTATAATTCGTGCTTGTCTTTAGAAATTCGACTGTGTTCTTCATGTACGCTTTAAGCACTCGCCCGGTACCGCACAACCCTCCCAAAGGCCGAGAACAAATTTAAATTAAATTAAAACTTGCCCTCGAGCCGGGAATCGAACCCGGTACCCCTCACCTAGCTGCCACTTAATAAGACCGCTAGGCTATGAGGCCCCCCACTTAGGGACTTTTTCAGCAAGCTGAAATATGATTTACACCGTTTCAAAAGAGGCGTACCAAATACCAGAAAATTGGAATTTACATAAAGTTGCCCTCGTTTTCTTCAGGAGGCTGTTTTTTAAAGTCTGTTTCGGAAAATGTATGTGGCCATTTGGACCCCATACAAACCAAACGAGAAGTTGTGACTTACCTCGACAAACAGGGAAAGGTTTAGCCCAATCTGCAGCAGGTAGGCACACGGTCTCAGTTGGTCCATTAAGTGCCCAGCCAGGGGGGCAGGAGAAGGCTGCCCGACCCCCAACGCCTCGAGATACCACCGCCACCCTGGGTCTTCTTTCCCCATCATTTATTGGAGTGTCGTGGACCACATCACCGCATTCTACACCTGAACATGTTTTAGAGCTTGATTACTTCTTAATAAAGATAAATCATAGAAAATCGGTTAATAGTTTTCTAGTATTTATCTTTTATCATTTCCATAGTAACAAGAAGATACTATGTGATGATAAATCCCCAATCCGGCTGGTCCCCGTGGGGAAAGCGACCACCGCCCCCCATTGCATAGGAAAAACGAAGAACACGACAAAAATAAAGGCGCTCCACGATCATCAAAGCAAGACCAATAGACCTGAACAATGTATAGAGAGAAATCAGAGAAAAAAAAGAAATGGAAAAATATGGAGGAGGCTTTTATCCTAAAAGGGGCCATACTAACTTAAATTTTTACAACAAGTAGTAGTATTACTAAAACAAAACTAATATTCACATTAAGAAATGTTGACTAACCCATTTTTGTATGGATTCATTAATAAAGCACTATTAAATAATAAATAAGTGATATGAGATAATATAGAGTTAAAGACAGACGTAGACAAAGCATAGATTACAGAATTTCTGACAACAAATTTATTGAGTTGGTTTATATTGTCTTGTACGGGCAACAAAAAGCCTAAATTTACCTTACAGATCAGTTAGTAACGAGAAAGGATGTGCATAGAACAATATTTGTGAAAGAGGTTAATTGGTTATTATTATGTGTATCCCATTTCTGAGGGTACGTTCCGAAGATGAAGCGTGCTGGGAAGACGAATAGATCCACTCAGATACACAACAGTACATTACCCCGATACTTTGACATAGTTCTTTCCTCCTGACGAACGCGTTTCATGTTGTAGCCAAAATCTGGCTTGCGAACTCTGCTATTAGAGGCTGAAAGAGGTACTGGGATAAGCTTCATAGCCTTGACGAAACCTAATCTTTATATGAAAACAATAATCCTAAGCTATACTGTACCAGTCAGTAAATTAACCTGGAAAGTCCAGATAGTCCAAAAATGGCGTATATAATGGATATAGTCATTAATTATAACAAAAGTTAGTTTTCCCCATTTTCGTATAACTGTTGTCAATGAAAAATAACAAAGGTTAAATTCAGTGAATGCCTTAAACAATCAAATAATTATCCTCGTTGTATGAAATTTAACAAAAAATAAAAAATAAATGTTGAAGATTTATGTGAGTTATCGTCATAACTTTATTTTGTATTAATTACTCCATTTTCTAACCTTTAAATATAACTTTATTACGACGGGGCATATATAATGTTTATTGTATTGTCTCTGTCAAAATAACTACTTACTCTCACAAACAGGTAAAGGTGCACTCCAATTGCCTGAAGCCCGACAGAACAAGGTAGAAGCTCCAAGTAAAGCATTCCCATTCGCGCAGGAGAAGGTGATCTCACTGCCCAGCTGAGTGTCAAGACTGCTTGGAACTAGACCTCTTCGTATGGGTAGAGGTGGACAGTGAACGTCTAAAAGGGTCCATAGTAAGTTTTAGAACAGCTAATGGATGCAGACGTATGTCCGAGTCCCAAATATCAAGCAGACTTACAATAAAAAAATAAAAATGTGTTTATTCATTTTAAGTACATATGCAATACAATGTCTAAGATTTGGGAACCCTTTTAAGTAAGATATACCTGTGTCAGGGTTCCCAGCTCTTCCATAACAAAATTAAGTATTAATTCCTTAAAATATATTTGTATATATTTTATTACATCTTTTATTTTATTTACTTTTCAACTGTTATCAACACGCCTGAGTGGATGAGTGTGTGAGTGAGTCAGTAGGTGAATGAAAAAAGTGTGTAACTATATACTAGGTCTCAAAAGCATCTCTAACACTGCGCAAGGTATGCTCATAAGCCAGTCCTTTAGTCGTGTCTTTACATATTGCGTCTGGCGAAGTCAGTCCAGTCTGACCGACGACAACATCCCTATATTTTTTAGGTACAGCATATTATCAAACGGGAGCGCTCTGTGTGTTTTTAAAACTTAGAAACAAGTAGATACTGCTCTGACCAATTTAATATTTGTGTTAGGCATTTTTATTTTGAGTGAGTCGCGTCTTACTTAAGCCGCTAAGCTTTCAATTACTTTAGTATAAAGATAAATGGGAACTTGGAAATGAACACACGCTACTTTTAAAGTGAGTTTCTCTGAAATTATTCTTTTACACTAGATTAATTCATTGCACATAACTACACTAATATAAGGCGCGAAACACACAGAAAAGGCGCAAGGTGAAGGCGCGGCGCAGGCATCTTGCCGCTTTAAAACGCGTCAATACAAAATGTACGTAAGGGGCACGTTGTGAATTATACTCAAGCGGCGTGGCACGCGCACGTCGTTTTGTCGCCTATTCCGCGTCGCTAGCAGTCTTTTGTTATACAGAGTGAGCAGAAAAATGCGTGACGACAGTGTTTTTAATATTCAGTTCTGCGAGATAAGCGAACAATTTCCAGCCCTTTACGACTTTACGAAGTCTTCATTCCCTTCGGTGTCTCTGCACATTAATGAGTTGAAGCAAAGCGAGCGCATCTTCGTCATCTGAAGAGGAAGGCATGCTATAACGATAAGGTCACCTGTGTAATGACTCTTTGTGCCGTCTCTTTGCCTCTTTGATATAATTCAAGTGGTATCCGTGCCTTATCTGTTCCACGCCGTCTCTGCGCCTTCGCCTTCGCCGCGCCTTCACCTTACGCCTTTTCTGTATGTTCCGCGCCTAAAGTTCACATTGTCTACGCCTGTTCAATGTTGTTGAAGTTGGTATAAAATATTGCACTTATCAAGCGACAGGAACCACAAAACCTACCTTCCACGATGATCTCGACCTGATGACTCTGTCTCGCAGGTGTCTCGCACCGGTATATGCCTGAGTCCTCCTTCTCCGCGTTCATGATGCTTATACGGTATTCCAGCTGACTATCTCGACCTGGGTCTGTGCTCCAGCCCTCGGTATATTTCCTCTCTGAACTAGAAAACCATTATTTTATTAACGTGAGAATCAACTTTATCAATATCTTATCAACTTGTCTTTATCTCCTCTAAATCATAAGTTATGGTATTTTTATTTTGACCCATATAACAACTATAGAATTGGAAATGTTGTGTATAGTGTTCATAAATAAAATAATGTTTTAAAACCTTTTTATTTCAATTTTAAACCTATGCAATATAACAGGTGTCTCAATAGCAAGTTTACATTTCAATTCAGAGCGTTATGCGAAAATGTTAGACGACTTGTTGGTGCCTGAACTTCATAACTTTTCTGGCTGTAACCAAAGAACATGGTTCCAGCAACGTCACACACGTCCAATACGTTTGCCACGAGTTCGTGAAATTTTCTCAGGCAAATCTCAGGCGATCTCCAGGAGAGGTGACATAAATTGGCCTCCACGCAGTCCTGATTTAACCCCTATGGATTCTTGCTTATGGGGTTATCTTAAATCTAAAGTATACGCCAATAAGCCGACTTCTCTGGCGCAATTGAAAGAAAATTTCCGTCACGAAATGGCAGCTGAGTTCACCTGCCGAGCCGTCATAAGTAATTTTATTGTTCGATTAAATGAGTGCCGCGAACGCGAGGGTCTTCATTTAGACGGACAAATAAATTCCCAAAATGTGTACTTTAATTATGAATAAACACTTTTGATACACGACTTACTTTTTTTTAATCTATCGACTAAATATGAACTTTCTGTTGAGCCACCCTGTATAATACAATATACAATATATATAATATACAATACCTTTTATTGTAAAGATATTAAATCTTTGATAATAACTAAGCATTTAGTGAAATAGCTAGTTAAACTTGCTATGTTTATCATCTTCACTAAAGAATTACTAACACTATAATAAATAGCTTGGCCATTATTCTGACATGAATGAATTAAATTAGAATACCCAGCTAAACTACATTCAATAACTTACTCGGGGATAAAGTGAGTCACATTCCATTTGGGGTTTCCGAACCTCCTCATCCACAGACACTCCATGTGTAGCACAGTTCCAGGGTACACCAACAGTTTCCCATCATTTGTCTGAGCTATGGGTCCGTTTGAATGACGGAAAAGTATTGTTGGGGGCTTTTCCACTGCAAATAATAGTTTACAGTAGTACAACTTCAAAAGAAGTCTTTTCTTGAGGAGTTTGTTGTTACAAATGTCTCGGAAACCAAAAGTCATATAAAGATAATATTATATCTATGTAGTATATCCTACGTACTTTTTATTTAAATTAGGTATATCCCAACTTAAGGAACGAGTAGTTTCTGAGAAATTGATATCGACGTTTTACAGGACGTGTATAATAGAGGTACCTAACAATAAAATAAATCAGTGGCACTACAACCTTTTGTAGGTCTGAAGCTCAGATTTTTGTATCTGTTTCATGATCTAGTCTTATATGGAAGGTGATCAGCCTCATGTGCCTGACACACGCCATCGACTTTTTGGTATCAGGCAAGCCGGTTTCCTCACGATTTTTTCCTTCACAGTACGAGTGAAGGAAAACAACTAGGCCACGCACCTGAAGCAACTAGGCCAACACTGATCTGATAATATTACCTATATTATAAGGTAAATAACGTTGACAATAACCGTTATGGATTATATATCTACGATACCTCATCTGTTTACCTTGATACTTTAATATATAGTATTTAAATAATTAATATTTTAGAATAAAAATTATTTTCAATTTATTTTTTATTTATAATATTAACTTACTAGCATAGTCATTTTCTTGATTAAGCCCAAAGCAAGTAGGTTTGATTCCATCCCATGACCCGCCGATACAACGTCTGGTCTGCGATCCTGTTAAGGCATACTTTCCTATGTCACTGCATCTATAAGGGAAACATTTTTTGAATGTTTGTAGAATACAGACAGCCACACAAATATTTTGATTTGACTTGCACAAAATGTATCTATGTTTTTAATTTAATAATTCATCATGTTAAATATATATTCAGAAATGCATTTCGTATAAGAGCAGATCTTTTATTGGTACAAATTGCTAAGTGAAAACTTGGAGGCGCTAAGATATTTAATCTTCTTTCCGCAGCCGCAGAATGCCAAAACTTAGTTTACTAGTAATAACTTTAATCAAACAATAAAGCTTTTTTTCACATTTCCATAGTTTTTCCAAAATCTTATCTAAAATATAATTATATATTAACAACTAATATTAGATGAGGCACGTCAACTACGGGACTTTTAATAAATTCTAATTAAATCATTATTATATAGAAGAGGGGGCAAACGGGTAGGAGGCTCATCTGATGTTAAGTGATACCGCCGCCCTTCACATTGCCAGCAGGACCGCGCGTTTCCTTCTTTTAATAAATGGTTTGCTCTTTTCTTGAAGGACCATTAGCCTTCGTAAATCCAATCTTACTTACCTAGATACAATAACAGCCCCGGGAGGAAACTCAACCGTTTCAGTTATCTGCAGATCATTAAAGAATGACACCACATGTGGTTCTTCATTACGAAACGTGCACGTGTTGTTGCTTATTAGTTCTTCGCTTTGAGCGTCTAATTCGTCTGAAACATATTTATTATTTATATTTAGCTTTATTGGCAAATAAACATTTTAAGCAGTTAAATTTTTGAGCTCCGATCCAATGTAAGATAGGCAGACACAACTCGACATGGAATTTTACCTTCCAACGATATAATTTATCGTTGGATATATATATATATATATATATATCAATATATCATAATTTGTACTATTTAATTATGAACAACTAATATAACTAGATAATGTGCATTAAAAATTTCAAGCGGGAGAAAATGTTCTTACCACAATTAAAACTCTTTCCAACCCAATTTCCATTTTCGCATATAATTTTCCATGTGGTTTTTTCGCCCATTATAGATGCGATGCAACTAAATGTTATTTTCACACCATGAGGGTACGTATCCTTGATATCATATGTCTCATTTACGTCAGAGCCATCTCTATATATCAAAGTGCCTTGCACCCTACAAAAGTACGGAATTTTAATGGTACACTACAAGGTGCAACGTAGAGACCAAAAAGTTTGTAAAGCATGCACTACACACTTGCAAAAAATTGCAACATAATGTAAGCTCGGCCAAGACAGAAAGGAAAAAGCGAAAAACTCCCGATACATTTGAACTAAGCCCTGCCACCAGAGGATTTCACGGTCGTAACTAGTAAAATCGAAGAATAGAGAATAATCACCGGATCCGGTGGTGATGATGAAGATGAAAACTCTAACGTAGAACTATGTTTTCAACTTTTGGGGCAAACATTGCTTCTTCGGAGATACATATTTCTAGACAAAACACCTTTGTGATAAAAAACAAAGGTTAGTCATGATACGGGAATAACAATTCTGTGGAAGAAGGAATTAACAATTCTACATTGTTACGCACTTAACGCGTTAACAATTATGGTTTAATATCTGACGCACACAGTTCTACGTTTAATAGCTTAGGACCAATGCTCCGTCCGTATTGATGATCTAGAATTTGATGATTAGAAAGATGAAAAACGTTATAAAAGCAAAAGTCCGAACCTAGAAGGCTCTCACCAGGGCTTCGCATCCCTGAACGCCTGTGTTCCCTTCAGTCTTTCCAGCCAGCAAATAAGAAACGCAGACTTTGCAAAAATATTATTTTTTGTCTTCCCATAACTTTGGGCTGTGACCAAGCAAAATGCACCCAAAATTGAGCACAATTTGCTTCTGCTTAGCATTAAGTCCGCAAATTAACCGGGTAAAATGCGAGCGAGGATTTCCAAATATTATTATTCTTTAATTTTTTGGGATCAAACAAACCACGAAAGCTACAATGAAAGCGTCTTACATAACTCGCCGAAGAATCTTTCATACATTGTTCTAGGCTAAAACTTTATAAATTATTGAGAGATTCTTGGGCCCTGAAGTGTATTTTGTCCATGTATTGTAGCAAGGAGATTTTATACCTCTCGGGTGGGGCGCAGGGTATTGCCCCTTCTTGCAAATCGGGTTCCAACTCTGAAATATCTCCTCTTACAATATCAGAGCCGCTTTGGAAATTTGATTTTATCCAGGGTCGTGTCACGTTTACTGGAATTATAAGAATTTCAATACTTGATTTTTATTCGTGCAACTAAATTATATTCAATTTTTCTTATTAAATTATCCTATTATAATTACTGTAAGAAATATACTTTAATTCGAGATAATTTATGTCACCGCCGTGGATAAGTTTTGAAACAATTCACGTGAAAAACTTACACTGCGGTCTACAAAACTCATGTACAGATGGCTGTAATCTGCCCAAATGACAGTTGAGTGTTGCGGGTGGTGAACGTCCAGGCTCGCAGGATATGCCAACAGATGACGCGTGCGCAACTGTTAGACCTGCGCGATAACCAGCCTCGTATGTCGCGCCCGTGAGCAGGGGCAGTTCGCATGGCGCTGTAAATATAAATATCATGTAGTATTATCTTATTATCATTGATTCAGTCTACAGGTTTTATTACTACAAGGTTTTCTTGTATTCCGTGTTGGATATTAGGTCAGTTAAATTTTTTTATAATTGTTTTGAAAATAATTTAACATTATCTATGTCTGTTAAACTGATTTTTTGGAACGAAAGGGGGCTAGACGGAAAAAATTCTTACGAAAAGTTGTCACGACACTTTTTTGCTATTTGCTATTGTAATACACCGGTTCTCGTCCGATCACCGAAGTTAAGCAACGTCGGGCGAGGTCAGTACTTGGATGGGTGACCGCCTGGGAACATCTCGTGATGTTGGCTTTTTTTTGTAGGGATAAGAAATGAAAATTATTTTTGGAATCACTTAACTAAATTAATCTTGTTGGAACGAAGTTATCGAGCGTTGCGAAAGGGGGCTAGACGGAATAAATTAAGACCAAAAGTTGTAACGACACTTTTTGCTATAGTTGTTATATTTTACATTTTCAATCTAGCTATCGCCAACGTCCATACCACGTTGAATACCTACACCGGTTCTCGTCCGATCACCGAAGTTAAGCAACGTCGGGCGAGGTCAGTACTTGGATAGGTGACCGCCTGAGAACACCTCGTGATGTTGGCTTTTTTTTCGTCGTAAGATTGGTGTCGAGAAAATCTATCATACTGTTATGATACCAAGTAACATATAAATTAATCGAAAGGAATTTCGTTCCATCCGGGTGTCCCTTGACACCTCTAAAGTTTTTTTATCGCTAATTGGAGAAAAAGGTAAAGAAATACACAGGATACATTGGTGATTTTAAATTTAGACCTTAAAATCAAACTACCTGGCACACATTCAGGCATACTGGTAACTGCCCATTCACCAAGCCAACAACGTAAGTTCGTCGGTCCTTGTACGTTATATCTGAAAAAGGTTATTTTTTATAATAGGTGAAAATCAATATCGTAATAAATTGCTACATAACAAATTTTTGTAGGTTCCTGAAATGTTGTCATAATATGTTGTAGTAAAAACTGACTTTATTCCAGTAGTTAACCTGCTTCAAAATACTTACCCATATTCACAGGAGAAATGTATTATTTGTCCATTAGGAACTGGGTCTGTTTCATTCAGCTCTCTGTCGTCATCTCTATTGGTGCCGGCGATAAGACTGCCCAAGTTCCCGTTTGGAGACATAGTATAGATTCCATACTCAGTGGGGGGCACGTGGCATGGTACTGGAAAGAGGGTATTAAATAAAAGCTCCTAATACGTCGCACAAAAACTTTGTGTCAGTAATCTTACATCGATTAGATAGATAGAGATTTGTATGACTCGAAATGTAATGCTAGGAAATGTATTAGTGGGGTGAAAATGTACAACGAAAGACGAAACGGATCTTACCCGCTCTACGCCATTGACTTGCGAACTGGTAGTAAAAGTAAATTTACAATTAATTTAACTTCTTTCTGACAATTCATAAGTGTACATGTTTACATGAATAAAGATATTTTGAGTTTGAGTTTGAAAGACCCTCATGATACATGTTGGACACTCAAACGGAATACACCATTTTATCTTTCGTAACAAATTCTAAACCATTTTTTTTAAGTTGACGCCTACTAATTTGAAGATTTAATTAAAGACACTACAAGAATTTACTACTAATGAACAAAGATTAGAACAATACAATAGCGCTTATAAATTTTTTGTATTAGTATCTGTAATGTGTTGTTTTTATATTTCAGCTAGTGTATAGTGTAATTCTTCAGTACCTCTGAACACTGTGACAAGGTACACTTTGGTTAGTATAAATAATCTGATTTTTAGTACATATGTTATGTTTTTTTGAAAATTCAGTGTTTGTATGTAAATGTTTTCATGAGAAAATTGTTGAGTATACAGTTATTGATACTCTTCAGGAGCAAGAGAAATTAATTTGATAGCGTGATTCAGGAAATTATGTCATCGCGTTGAAGCTGCAAATTGTAAATGTCGCTACTCTCTATACTAAATTGCAAATCGTCAACACGTTTGCACCTTTTTGTTATATATTCTTTTACTTACGAACTTCACACACAGGCTTTTCCGGCTTCCATCTCCCTCTAACACATTTAGCAGTTGCATTCGCCTCAAGGTTCAGCCCATAGCCCTTTCCACATGCCACTCTTACGATTGTACCTAAAACAAATATGTAAGCTAAGAAATACTTTAATGATACTTTAAACTGCAGTCTACATGAGTTTACGCTCGTTTATCTGCAACACTTAAATATGTCTTGACACTCCAGGTTTTAAAAGCTTACACGCATTTTATAAACGCTAACCCACAAAGGCTTTTTTAAGAATTTGTATTAAAAACTGTTAGCTTACCAGAACTAAATGTATTGTTAGGGTCTCGTCCATACTTGACTATCTCTATATTAACATACGGTTCACTCTCTATTGGGTCACAGGGACTTTTAGGACGCCCTTTTTTACCATTTTTCTCATTCCCATTCTGATTTCCTTCATTTTCTTTGTTTTCGATTGTGGCATCGTCTTCAGTTGACTTACTCTCAGATCCTGCCTGACGATTTCTTCCGCCCTTGCCATCTCGTCCACTATAATAAATGGATAACATTATCAGACAATACATTTCTGATATTTTATTGTTTATAGATTTCCAAGGATATTTTTTTTTACACGAAAATTTGGCACCTTGTGCCTTGTTAAAACATTTTAGTCATCATATTATAATAGAACCAAGAAATTTTAAAATCAATCCAAGAGTAACTTACGTTTTAGGCACTGTCGCTGTAGTCTGATTAAGTCTATCTGTTTTCCGACTTGTTCTCTTATCTCGTTTATCCAAAATATTAAGAAACTCCGTGGAATTCGTATTCTTATGCTGCAATGGTATTACTCTAACTCCTTTCATATCATTAGGCGAGATCGCTTGAGTCTGTAGTGGAATTACTTTTAGAAAAGAATCAGATATTTCACTAGAGACCTCTTGCGTAGGTTTCACATAACTTTGCGTATCATGTTCTTCATAATTGACATTTCGTTTCTCCCTAGCCTTGAGTTCCGTGCCTGATTCAATTTCAATACTATGATCAGGTGAGTCAGTAACATTCAAAAATCGCTTACGTCGTCTATCTACATATCTTTCGAAATATTGATGTTTGAGTTTATTTATATTTTCTGAAATTTCATTACTTGTGTCTTCGTGATCAGGGAAAGAACCCCCTTTAAGAATTGTTAGTTGAGAATCATCGGTTTCCATAGAATCACCGTAGTCTGGTGTTTCATCGTGTACAATTTCGTCTTCTTCAGGCTCGTAAACCGGTTGGTAGGAGTAGAACTTATGTGCTATTGGTTCTCCGTGAACATTATAAACAGTGTAGATGGCTGTTGGAAGATTTCCATCATCAGGTCCTTGAGGCTCCAGCATATCTTCGTCAAAGTCTAAATCAAACTTCTTCATCATCTTGAAATTTGCATGTCGTAGCGTCGGTTTTTCAGTGTCATGATTGTATTTTTCGTATAACTGATCTAAGTTTTCATGTGAGGTGTCGAGACTCTTGCGAAGGTTGTTATAGTACTGCCTGAGGTAGGCTGACCGTCTGTGACGTACTTCAGTGTCAGTGATAGATCTGCGTCTTCGACTCCAACGAATACGTGGGTGTTTATACAGTGTACAACTAAAACAAATATTATAAAGCTTTAAATATGCTATACCAGCGTCTTACGTTAAAAGAACATTTAAAGAACGAAACAATTTAATTGAAACAAACACCTCACGATATTTGCTATGTAATTAATGTAGTTACATTCTGTGAAGAAGTTTTCAATATGTCCAAAAGAGTATATGTGTGAATGCTACCTTTAATTCGACACACTATTTACCAAATGATTTAACACTCGTTATAAAGTGTAATAATAAATATGAAATATATATTAGAGGGGGATTATTAAGACTTTTAAAATTGTTATGAAAGTATAATTTTAATTTTGTCTGATATAACTTACTATGGTAGTTCTCTAGGGCTCCAATGTCCGCCCACACAGGTGGCGCCAGGAGCACCTTCAGATAGCACATAACCTCGGTCACACTCATACATTATCTGTTTGTTGTTGACCACCTGTTATAAAGATAGAAGGTGATAAATAAACGTTGCATCAAACTCAGAGATATTATGTTTTAAAAATATATATAATTTAGTGTGTCGCTTGTAAACCACGCTCGTTCATTTATTAAATTACGTAATTATTAATTATAATTACATAATTTAATAATAATTAATTATTATGTGCAGTGTTGGCCTAGTGGATTCAGCGTGCGATTCTCATCTCTGAGGTCGTACGTTCGATCCCCAGCTGTACACCAATTGTCTTTGTTACTATGTGCGCATTTAACATTCGTTCGAACGGTGAAGAAAAACATCGTGAGGAAACCGGCTTGCCTTAGACCCAAAAACTCAACGGCGTGTGTCAGGCACAGAAGGCTGATCACCAACTTGCCTATTAGATAAACAAATTCTGAGGCCCAGAGCTAATAAAATAATTGAAAGTGAATTTAACAATGAGATTTTGCATCGAACCCTTACAATAACAAAACCTACCGAATTGTATTTTATTTATATTTTACCTTTTTCACATATGGACGATAGTCGTACAATCCCATGTTACCAACCAGAAGTACTTTTCCGTTCTCTATGTAACCAGGAAATGGGCAGAACACTGAAATTTATTTCAAGCGATGAAAACAAAGAAAACATAGTATTGTCTTTTATTGACATAACCTTACACATTTAAAGAAAAAACTTTTTAACCGGATTAAAGTTATGTATTATTATAAATTTACAATTATTTAACATAATTTTAAATTTATCCGACGTTTCGCGTGCTTTACAGCGTGCGTGGTCACGGTGACGCAACAAACAAAACAGTTTTGTTATACTAATCCGATCTTATGGGAGAAAAATCACAACAGTCCAACGTTTGTGGATAGAGATAATCAGTAGTTGTAGCATTGCTATAACCATTCAAGATCATACATCATTTAATCAAAAATACTGCGCCCCTGTTTACGCGCAGAAACGCAACTTCTCAATACTTTATAATTAGCATACATAAAATATCTAATCGTAAATCAACGTAAAAATGTCACGTAAATATCGTATTTTATAAATAATAATAAAAAAATGTTAAATTGCGTACAATTCCCTCAAAGGCCGGAAACACATCCGTAAGCAGCTGTCACATAATAAGAAAAAACATGAACTCACACTCTTCACATTTGGGCGTCTCTCCGCTCCAAGTCCCAAACGAACAGACGACAATGGGATTTCCTTTTAACTCATATCCGTCCTTACACCTAAATCGAGCCTTCATACCGTGTTCAGTTTTTGGAGCTATCACCATACCATTTCTGGGAAATTTTGGCATTTTCTTACACCTGGAAAATGTATGACATTGTTTAGTTTGAATATTGTCCGGCCCGTAGCACTTAATTGGGCAGACATTTCGGCGTCTGTTCCATTGAAGCAAAAGGCAATTAGCCTTCTGTGTGATTCAAAGCAATAACTGTTTCGCCCGTAATAGAACCTAGAACTTTCGAGCTGTTTACAACTATTTAGTAATTTGGACCGTATGCTCTTTAAAAAACTACTAAAGTAAACCGATAATACTTATTTTCCGGGTACTATAGTACCACTTCTTCAAGGCTAACAAATTTTGTACCTGGCTGGTTGACAACGTGGTATCTGCGTCCAAGTTCCATTGTTGCAGGTGATCGCAGCGTTAGTAGACGGAAACTCGTAGTCTTTCTCGCACTCTACTACGATTATTTCACCTGGAATAAAATATATGTTAAGTTTATCTTTATTTAAGTAAGTCTGTAAATCTCTCACTTAAAATATATGTTACAGTTAAAACCTCTATTCTGAAGCGTAAACATTCTAATGCTGTGTTGGCCTAGTGGCTTCAGGTTGCAAGTCATCGCTGATTCTATCTATTTGTCTCTACTCGGTCGGTAAAGGAAACCAGCATGCCTTAGACTCAAGAAGTCGAAGGTAATTGCGCAAAATAACCAATAAATACCATAAGTTGTCACCAGAATGTTTGGCGATTATTATTTGATTATCATCTATAGATTTATTAATTGTTTTACTAGACTTGCTTTTGTTTATCAATATATACTAACTGCTTCTGAATATTTACTGTAACATTAACTTAAAAAAATACAGGTATCACGTCTTATTCCACGTCATTAAATGTGAATAGGTAGACATCCCTATTCATCAGAGGAAAAACCGGCGTAAAAAACTCTCGGTACTCTTTTAAAATAGTTTCAAATCATCAAACAACACTTATTTTAAAACAAATAAATAATAATAATAATAATAAAGCCTTTTTTTATTTTTTTTTATTTCCTGTTTTACAAAAGTTGGTAGTTGTTATATTAAAGTTACCAAAAATATTGATTTGTTAGTAGGTTAGCTTAAATTATGTTAGTAATATATATTTATAGGATTTTTATAGGATTTATTTAACAGGAACCCCGGTTTGGGTAAAGGCCTCCTCCAAAGATGCCCATTGTTGTCGGTCCTGTGCTATGGAGTGCCAGTTTTTGCCAGCTGATCTTTTCAGATCATCTTCCCAGCGGTCTAAGGGTCTCCCCTTCCGCCTCTTGCCTGGTGGTCCTTTCCATTGGGTAACTCGTTTGGTCCACTTTCTGCTAGACATTCTTGCCACATGGCCAGCCCAATTCCATTTCAGTTTTCGGGCAAAAGTTAAAGCGTTTGTAACTTTAGTGACGGCTCTTATCTTTGTATGTCTTATTTTGTCCATTCTCTTTATATTCAACATGCTTCGCTCTAAACCTCTTTGACATACATTGATTTTATTCACAGCTTGTGTAGAGAATTTCCAGGTCTGGCTTCCATAAGTTAAGCTGGGTAGTAGACATGAGTTCATAACTTTAGCTTTGAGAGTTATTGGTAGGTTACTCTTAAATATTTCTTTTAGGCTCCAATATTTATTCCAGGTTTGTTGGACCCTTCTCTCTATTTCTATAATGTTACTGTTTTCCTCGAAACTTATTCTTTTTCCCAGGTAAGTATAATTTTCTACATACTCTAAAGGGTTACCATTGATAGTTATAGGTCTTTTTCGTGTATTACTCATTATCTTTGTCTTCGTTAGATTCATCTCCAAACCAACTTCCGCACTCACCTGTTGTAGAGATTCTATCATGAATTGCATCTCGTTGACTGTCTCTGACAGAAGGATCAGGTCGTCAGCGAACCTCAGGTGACTTAGGTAGGTGCCTTTTATACAGAGTCCTGTTTTACTCCAATCTAATTTGTTCATGATGTTTTCGAGTATTGCTATGAAAATAGTGGGTGAGAGCGGGTCCCCCCTGTCTTTTAAAACAAATATTGCAAATTAATTAGAAGTCGCATGTGTAGGTAGCACTAGTCCCAGGCCCTTTTATCAACTAGATAATTGTTAACTTTATAGTAAGCCTTTTTACACAGCTGTTTAATACATTTCTTAAATTTATTAAAAGGCAGAGATAAAAGAGCCTCTGGGATTTTATTAAAGAAAAGTATCCCTTTTCCCAAAAAATAATTACTAACTTGAGTTAGTCTGGTCCGGGGAAATTGCAGCCTGCATTTGTTCCGAGTATTAACATTGTGCGTATGTTCTATTCTAGTAAAATTAATATTCTATACGAACCATGTTGGACCATAGTAGAGCTACGAACTATCTGTGTATGCTCCTGAGTGTCGTTTGCACTTGTTTTATTTTCTTTCAGCACGACGCTACCCTGAGAGACATGCGGCACTACGCAGGGAGCTGAAAGTTAAACAAAGGTGCACTTACGAAAACGATTCAAAGATTTTATTTTGCAAATAGCGACAATAACTCATTTGTCAAGGGTAGTTTCAATAAATACATTAAGAAAGGTTTTCAGAAAGGTACCTTATACGATCTCTGAACATTTCAAGTGTCTTTCTTATACATATACCGTTACACACCGTAAATCACAATTTCAAGAGCAAACATTGATTAATGGGTTTGCCAAAATACGTTAGTGCCAGTGAGCGATAGAAACAAGTATGGATTTAAACTAAGTGACAAACAGAAATGTGAAAGTATCCACAGAGAAACCAAAATAATAGATACTGCCTACAACTCAAATGGAAACGAGCAGGTTACGTAGCCCGATACAGATGAAGACTGGCCCAAAAGAACAAAGGGTACACCAAAAGAGCGATGGGCGGACGAGATTGAAAGGATTACTTGGCAAAACTTGGATGATGACATAACATAAAGTAGAATGGAAAAACTTAGAGGAGGCCTACTTCCAGACGAGGAACACATCTTAGATTAATAAAATTATATATATTTATATATTATTTGTAAATAAGATATGGACAAAAAAAATCAGTTTAAGGAATGAAGAATAGCCACTTCTTTCCTGTCTTTATCCTTCCGTGTAACATAATTGTTTAGCTTATAAGTTTACCAAAAACACAAACTCACTCAGAATCAAAAATAAATTTATTAAATTATATTATTAAGGCTTATTATTATTATGGCTTTGCCGTGGTGCGTCCACGGTAATTAATCAATAAATAAATTGATTTATATGTTACAGTAACTAAGGGAATGTGATCGGCTATTAGTTCAGTTATCAGTTAATTTGTAATGGAACTAAAAGTAGAATCACCATATAAGAAAATAATTATCAAAACACATAAGCTACGGAATTAAGTTTTCTTTTATATACTTTAGTCAGATACTGCCAGCATCCAAATAAACATACCCAAGCACATTGGCAACGGATGACTCCAAGTACCATCGCTCTGGCAGATCGCAGAACCATTCCCTTCCATCCTCATACCATCCTGACATCTGAAGATGATGGAAGCCCCAGACCGGTCCCCGACGATATATTCTCCAACCACCCGTTCCATAGCTGACCGGGATGACCGCAATTAATTTCTGAAAGGACAAAAATGTTGGACTAAGCAGTATCGTGACATTCGCTCGGACGGTGAAGGAAAACATCATGAGGAAACCGACTTGTCTTAGACCCAAAAAGTCGACGGCGTGTGTCAGGCACTGGAGGTTAATCACCTACTTGTATGTTAAATTGAAAAATGATCATGGAACAGATTTAGAAATCTGAGGCCTAGACCTAAATAGGTCATAGCACCACATAAACTTGACGTATTTTACAGTTTACGTTCTTTGCAAGAGTAAATAATACTCGTTAAATTATTGTGTATTCTATATGTATATACACGCAGCAACGAGCAAACGGGCTGAATGCTCACTAAATGTTAAGTGATCCCATAGAATCTCACGCTGCCAGAAGTTAAGTCGCTAAAATCAGAGATCACCTTTTCGTGTCCTATATTTGTGTCGTATAGACTTAAATATGACTGCCGCAGGTCGAGTGAAACGTCAATATCTTTACAATTCAGATTTAAATTTTCAGTCTTTTTGGATAAGGGTATGGAATAATACAGTATTAAGTTTCCTAAAATGGTTCTGTAATGGTTTTATTAGTCAAGTGTATTTCCCAACCTATATATGTATGTATTGCCTTCTATCAGGCAATATCCTGCTTAAATATAATAATAGACAATTTATCAATGTAACCTTTGCATAGAGGCTGCGTTCCCGACCATTTCTTATCAGCGCCGCAACGCCGCGTAGCGTCTCCAACCAGTCGGTATCCATACTTGCATTCATAAGATACCACCGAGTTATAAGCGCAAGAGGTGTACACAGCCTTTCCATGCCTCGGAGCCTCAGGGGGAGGACACTGGACCTGCGTGACCACTAGATGGCGACAGCGTCGCATTAACATCCGAAAGATGGCGTGATACTTCGAAACCAACTTCAAAACAACGAGAACCAATGTTTGAAAAAAGGCCGGAATCCGAATCAGAAAATTCGAATAAGGGCGGTTACAGACTAGCGTTTTTTACGCGCGTGTAGGCTCGTCTTTGGAAACGCATGTAGGCAGGCTTTTTGGCACGCGCGCAACTCGTACGAGCGTTGACTACAGCGTGAGCCACTAGAATCACTTCGCACTTCTGGGTAGAGTGTATTAAAGTGACCGGTTTTCTGTCTTGATGCATCCACACCCAGCATTTTTTTCGTCTTCTCAGTCGACGGCGAATAAGTAACGCAAATAGAAATATTTCTGCGTCAGAATCCATGTTCATACTGACACGACGCCACTGAAGGTTCGAGCGAACACGCCGAAATATGCCAGTTTACGCGCGTCCGGTTTTTTGAAGCGCGTATGCTGAAACGACCGTATACGCGCATAAAAATACGCTTGCCTGTAACCGCCCTATAGCAAAGATTTTTTGGAGTCAGTCACAAGAAACTCATGCAACATGCAGAAATAAAAAACGGATAGTTGTTTTAAAATTTATTTGTCTACTATTCTAATACAATATTTGGCTATCGATCTACTAGGCGAGAGGCAGTTAAAAATCTTTTTTACCATGGCCATACTGATACTACGTTAATTCTGATAACATTTCTATGGGTTCAACAACTACTATATGTAATGATTCAAACTGTCCCCTTCTCTCCTTCTGTTCAGCAGCAGGAAAGGAGAAAAAAGAAGGTTTAAAAATTATTAATAAACACAATATATTATATCACACTTTGTATTGGATGACGAAAATATGTTTTACGAGAAACATAGATTTAAGAAATTCTTTGTATCGTTTTTTAATAATAGTTTTGAATAATTGTAAAAACGATTATTTTTTTATCATATTATTGTCAAATATTAAATTCGTTAAAATTCCTAAACGCTTTATTGCCAACCAAATCAAAGCAAGCAGCAAGTCTCCAATACAAAGTGGGTACCAGATTGCGTCATGACAATGGTATTGCTGATGATAGCCATGATAAGAGAAAGCGCCATGCTGCTAATCACCGAACAAGATTTTAAAACCATGCACATTCCAAAGGTCCAAGTCGGCAACTACATTGTCACGAAGCAATGCCATAGAAAAGAAGTTTAGTGATGAGCCAGCCGAATTTTCACCCTAAATAATTGAAATCTAAAAATAACTAGTTGATTTTATTATTATTTATATTATTAATTTCATTTCTAATGTACAATATTTATTGTATCCATCATCTGAAAAGGTTTGTATCGATAAAAATAAAATATTTTTTTCGAACAATACACTATTCACCGAGCATAAACGTTGTTCCATTCACCCAGAATACCTAGAGTTTCAAACCGTTAACAATAGTCTCGCAATTAGGTTAATAAAAAGTTACTTGCTATAATTAAAAACTTCTCGGTTTTAGCTGGCCTCATCACTAAATGAAAATTATCTAAAGAACGTTGAGAAAGTGTTGGGAACACTTACGAACACACGTAGGAAGCTCCTTCGGGGCCCAAGCTCCATCAGCTTGGCAGTAACGCTCCGCCTTTCCAACGAGCTCGAAGCCCTGACCACACTGCACCACAGCGCGACAGCCGAACGTGTGACAGTCAGCTGTTACCCAACCATGGGGCACTTCACCGGGCTCACCGCAAGAACGGGCTGTGTTATTTAAACATTAATGACGTAAAGAAAGTCTAACAAAAGCTAATTCAAGTCAAACTCAAATCTTTATTGCATTCCTTATGTTCATATTTAACACGTGACACGTTATAATTTATTACAATAAGGACCTTGGTTAGGCACAGCAATGTTGTGAGACGGCATGCTTTATTATAGTTAATTCTATTCTTATACATTTTTATTCTTATGAGATACATTATTTATTTGCTATATTTATTTGGCTTTGGCTTCACGTTGCGAAAAGGAGAATGTACTTAAAATTATTAATAAACTTAATTTTTATAAAGAAATTTAAGTCTATCAGTCAGATACTCTCTAACAGTATAATAACATTTCTTATATAATAAGTTCTTTAAAATTTGGTAAACTTCAATTTTTCTGGTAATTTGTTATATAATTGTCTAATTAGTCCTTTACGTAATTAAATGTACAGCTAAGAACATGAAATACGTTTTTCTAATTGTATCGTTATACAGGTGAATCAGGGAAATGGGTTTTTAAAAGTTAATCAGCTAATAACAAATCATGTGGGTTTCATTTTTCAATTGATAACATAGGACAATAAGGGTATTATTCACTTACGTTCACAAGTAATATCCGGTCCATACCATGATGCCTGTCTGTCGATAGCCAGGCATTTAGCTCTTGGAAAGCCGTTGGTGACGTAGCCGGTATGACAATTGTACTGAACAGTCGCGTCCAGGTCGAAGGTTGCCTGCTCTGGCAGTGCTGAGTGACGGGCGTGAGGAATCGTTGGTGGTTGGAGACAATAGACTGGAATTTTATTAAATCTCAATAGTTATGTAGATAGATATACCCTTAGATACCATTTTTGTTAAGGTAAAACTCGTATAAAGTAATGGATTTAATCGAATAAATTCCTTTACAATTATCGACTCCAAATCGCACTAAAAAGTAACTAATAAGGTTTCTTGTTTGAATTGAACTTGTATTGTAAAGGAATTGAATTTTTTAAATGTTTATTTACATACAAGCGACATGATTTTGTTTCATTTTAGACAACACTATTTTTGTTAAGTTAACCCTCGTCTAAAAATTTAATCTACTAAATTCCTTTTAAAATATGTGATTCGCACTAAAAAGTATCCAATACGGTTTCTTATTTAAATTGTACTTGTATTGTAAAGGAATTGAATTTAATAAGTGTTTATTTGCAAGCGACTTGCTTACTTGGAGATTTATACAAGCGCCATGAAGACTAATTCAATTTTTTAACAAATTTCACTTAAATAATAAACGCAACATGATGATTAATTTATATTCTTTTCACTCGTGTAGTTTTGCAAAGAATAAAAGAGACCAAACATTTGTCATCTATCATTTTAATGTATTAACTAATTATTTGTTAATTTTTGTTCCCTTTGCAGTAGAGACTCTTGGGCCGTGGGGTTCAAGTGTACAGATGCTAATTTATTGACGTTGGCGTCTTGTAGATAGTACCGATGACCCCATATCGTATATGTACTAATATCATGGCAAACAAAGACTTAAAATCCGCAAAAGTTTGATTTGACTTATTTTCGGTTTCGTTATTATTTTCTATAACGTAAATATGGACAGGACAACCTTTAACTTCGGAAGCTGTCAAGATTTCCTAACAAATTTAATACTCTGAGTACCTAACCGCACGATCGTCTGTCGTGTACAGATATAGAATATAGAACCCGCTATAATTATATTTTGATATCTTTATAAAGTAACATGATCGAGTCAAATTTAGGGTTGAATCAAAAGCTTATGTATTTTGAGTAATTATTAATTATTCTCTGTAAAGTTACTTTTAATAAAGTACCGATAACATAAAACAAGTTTGGAACCTAACATTGATTTAACTGTAACGGGTATATAATTTCGTCTCATTAAAGGTCTAAATTATTATGTAATTGATTAATAAGCGATTAATAAATATGAAATAATAGTAATTGTTTGTCATGGGCTGATTGCTAACAGGGAGAAATTTATTTATTTATAGCCGGTCCAACAGAAACACAAAACAAAAACAGAAAAGAGGAATGAAAAAATAAAATAAAATTTATAAACATAATGCACATAATATACAATAATGCTAACAAAAATAAATATTAAAAAAAGACCTTAAATTATAAATCATAGCAAAACATCCTAAAAATGTGATAACAGAATGCCCTTCCTGTAAAAATATCAAGATTGTTCGGACCCTGCAGCCGATAGCACAGTTTAGCCATTATGTTCAGTGGAGCGTAGAACCCCAAATAGCGTTTAGTGGAGATAAAAAATGTATGAACGCTTTCTTGCAACATCTCAAACCTCTAGGAACAGCCCTGCGATTCTGTAACTCACTTTTCGAACTCACACAGCGGTTTTCGCATCGGCGGTCGCTCTCAAATCAGTCGTGAAGCAGTCATTTTATGATTTAGCATTCTGAAAAGGAGGGAGCTTGTAGTTTATTGTTTATTGGACTGCCAAATCATAAAATGACTGCTTCACGACTGATTTTAGAGCGACATCCGATGCGAAAACCGCTGTGTGAGTTCGAAAAGTGGGTTAAAGAATCGCAAGGCTGAGCGCTGCCAAAACCGCTAGAGTTACACATATTATGTAATGTATGATGCAAATGATTATCTTAAATAGTCCTACAAAAAAGCCCGCCATAGTTTATATCTATATCTTATGTGTAAGTCAAAAAAGGTAAGCCAAGTAAAGCCAATATAGTGAACCATAACTACAATAAAAATTGATAATTTATTTAAAATGCACATTGGGTAGTAATAAATTGATTCCTAAATGAAAAAAAACTTTTATCGCTTCTGGTATTTAAAGTAGTTAAAATATGTCCTTCACGCTACATCATTTGGACAAATATTATTTGAATCCTGCGCAGACGAAGTCGCGGACACCAGCTAGTAGATAATAAAGTTTAAAAGCTAAAAATACTTACTATTCTCCTTACAAGCGGGAGGCTGTCCCGCCCATTTCCCGTCAGCTTGACAATTCCTACTCTGCAGACCAACTACGTGGTAGCCGCTGGGGCACGAATACACCGCCCTGAAAATTATTACACATTCAAAACTCTACAAAAAAAAGGATTGTGTGGTTTATGAACCCACCGTAAAAGTGAAACTTTTTTTCACATTAAAGACATTTAACTAAATGTTTTGGGAATAATATTCCATTAAGGGTATAAAAATCGCTTTATCAATCTTAATTTTATACTTGGAAAATTGGAATAATAGTGGGAAATAATAAAAGTAGACTAAGTCTCCATCTAATATTTTTATTGAACTCTGTGTCTTAGAGAGTACGACGTACATAATACTTAACAATTATTTAGATTATATACACATATTAATAACAATTATTTAAATTATATACACATAATAAATAATATTCTATACACTACACGGTCAGCTGCTGCGAACTATAGTCGCCGCCATATAATTTGGCCTTGGCTTTGAGCGCCTTTCACTTTATCCCTAGTCCGCGGCCGACCGTCACGCGACATGCGATACAGACGAAAAAGTTTGAGACGATGTAATAAAAGTTTCACTTTAATAATAGACAATTACATAAAACACCTTTAACTGTCATAAACGCGAAGTAACATAACTAGACTGGCGTTTTTTAGCAATCTAGAGGCCAGCACTAGCAGCATAAGTGTCCATGGGCAGCGGTAGTTTATTGGATAATTAACTAACTTGTCTCCAAAGAGTCGTCCTGACAGCGTCACCGTCCCGATTTCCGGTTGTTCTAACTCCGGACACTCACGGTCTGAAACAAATTTAAAGACATAATTTTAGTTGATATAGTACCGAAATATAATTCTTAGTGCTACGCCCAAGCGAAGCCACGCTCGACACAAATATTATAAAAAAACTATATACTACTTTCTATGTTTGTAAAGTTGAAACTAAAATTTCTAGAAATAATGTACAATAATATACCTATATGAATGTGTTTGGACTTTGACCTGTAATGTTTTTCGCTAAGAGGTAATATGTATTCACTCACCTATAGAAAAAAAACATTTTAAAATTGTATCTGGCTTGTTTCTGATGAAATTATGAAGATTAATTCAAAAAAAGAAACAAATTGGTAAAACTTTGTTTTCAGCTTATTCATTTATTTTTCTTTCTGGCAAAATTAATAAATCTGAAGAGAATTTAAAATATTTTTATTTAACTAACAAAATAAACTGAAACACAAGCGAAAAATTGTTTATGGCCATAATGTTTATGGATTTAGTGTCGGTAAGAATGTTAGTTGCAAAGATTAACATCTGGTGACCTTGTTACGAATAAAATGAACGACATTTTTGCAAAAAGGAACGTAAAATCGGCTTAAATATTACAACATAAGAACTGTAAATTAACCACAAAGCAGTCAAAACACAAGCCTTCAGGTAGTTCAATCAAAAAGATCCAAAATGGGCCTTCATAAATCAACTCTTTATTGTTATTGTTACGAAAGACATATTTATTATTTACATAAATAGTGTCAGGTATAGAATAAATTATACAGAGTTAACGCAATATTTTACACGTGTATTATTAAAATTCAACGTATTATGTCGCTATGATGAATATACGTTAAACCATACAATTATTCAAATAGCAAACAAGAGGGTGGTACAAAATTGTCGAAACCGCGAAAAAGTTTAATTAAAACGCGCTGCGAGCAACGAAATTAATTTAATTTAACATTATTCATTGAACGGTATTTTCAGCATTGTTACCACTGTATAAAAAATATATATAGTAACATGCTAATGATTATGGATTTAGTATCAATATGAATGTTAATTTTAAAGATGCACATCTTCTGGTCACCTTGTTACAGATAAAATGAACAACATTTTTGTAAAAAGGAACGTAAGATCGTCGAACGCAGGCCCCGCGATTTTGATTCGAAAATTCAACGGAAATCGTTAAGTGTTCGTGAATATAAAACGTATACTTAAGTGATTTCACATATACACAGATCTATTACACACTAATTTAAAATTTATAAAGCCCTTGCTTGATACGCGCCATAAAAAATATTATTACGTCAAACAGTCCCCTGATCTAGCAACGCATAGACAATGAAATAAGCGTTCCTGCACACGATGCCGTCGCCGCGCCGACGCCGCACAATTACTCTGTAGATACAAGTCGCGCGAAACCTGCCACCGCGCGCTTTTCTCTCCCTGTATGTTTGATTCATTCCATTACTGGCCGCGTACGAACGTGCAAACACGCAAACATGTCTAATATAATGAAAAAAAAAGGGTGCGTGTACTTATGTACGCGCGTAAGAAGTTATACTTCTTTGGCATTATTAAAAATAGTTTTTGATTGCATGCAAATAATTAATAACAATTAAATAATCAAATACTGGAAAAGGGACTCCTTTTCTATTATAGTCAATAAACTTCAGTTTACATTTGAAAAATTAAATAAATAAATATATTTATTATTATTCTCTTACATTAAGTGTAACATAAATTCTATTATTATTCGAATGTTGTTTTTAAATTATATCCAATGCCGTAGCATCTTCCGTGGGCAACTTCATTCTGTTAATTTTGTGTCACGGTGCGCGCGCATCGTAAAATTTCACTCTCATAAATTTTTCATAACGCGCCTAAAGAAGTATAACTTCAAAAAAGAAGTTCGTGCTTGCTTACTATATGTATAGAAAATGGAAAAAAGAACGTCGAGTTAGAAAGTTGTGGGCTTTACGCGACTCGTATCTACAGAGTAAATGTGCGGCGTCGGCGCGGCAACGGCGCGGTGACGGCATCGTGTGCAGGAACGCTAAACACGGGTGTAACCGCGGGGCACAGCCAGTTCAAATATTTCCCAGTAGTTATGCTGATTGAACTCATACAGACTTATACTTGATATGCAAAATTCGTTATTTGTAAACTAAACTTATTTGATCGGCAAACGTTGTACTGATAAAAAGGGTCAAATTATGTTTTTGTCAAATGAAATTTATAATAAAAAATGTCCAAGAAATAACCCTTGTTATTTGCAAGGGTTTTGTTTTGGCCACCCTTATCACTTGGTAATAACGACTTATAGAAAAAATTTAATAAAAATCGGAGATATGAAAACTTTTTACATATAGATTATAACTATTGACAATTAGTTTTGGTATAATATATTCTACCCAATAAAAAATAAAATATGTTTATTATGGAAAGTAAGATACAGGTATCACTTATTCCACGTCATTAAATTATTAATCCCTACTCATCGGCAAAGAAGACAGAGATACAACCTAAGCCAGAAACATTATCAAACATTTTTAACCATCCATCTCTCTCCAAACATTTCATCATTTATCATAAAACTATTTCGTCAGACAGGTGTTCATACATCAATTTCACCTTGTATTGTATTTCGTTATACCATTTATTATCTACTGCGTGTAATTATTTTCGTTTATCACACTGAAACCTATATAAGTTTCTTTTGAAGTGCCAAGTTTCGAAGCTGGGTTTTGGTTAGTATGGCATATAACTGAATAGACACGTATTTCCCTAATGTGATAAATAAGGTTCGAAGACCTCGGGGGCGGTTTCCTAAACGAACTGACAATTAAGGTTCGAATTCCCGTTAGAACGCAGATTATAATTAATTTGGAAATTTGTTTTCTGACTCTGATGCGTTGTCTCAAGCAAATAGTCTGACATACCAGGTATAGTGGTTTTGGCGTAAAAGACATTGTAACATCAGCAGGTTTTGGTCTGTCGTGTGCCTGGACCGCCAGGGTGGAATGACATTGGAGGACCCTTAGATTATCTTGTGCGGTATTATTTTAGGGTACTTTTTAATATTTTCTAGATAATTCCTCGACTATGTAGTCGTCAGAGGTATTAAATAGCTTACGTAAATGGTATTGGTAACCCGAATGATTAAACACTACTACCTATGTCTTTTAATAACTTTTTGTAAGACCTATAGAGCAAATCCTAAAAAGATGCCTCTAAGCTAATGTTGAACATTATTTTCTTTAAATTCGTCTCTGTTACTTTTATGCCAATAGCTTGTTCAGTGTTATAACTGTCGTATCCATACATTGGACAGTCGGTCAGAATATGTAACACCGTCTCTTTAGCTGTATTCCTACACAGACAGGCAGCACTTTGTATACGACAAGAATCCACCATGACCTGTCTACATCTGGGTAATCAATCCCGTTGGTTTTATTTGTTTAATTATATTTTTTTTAAATTAATTATTATTTTAGGGTTACGGGATTATTTACACAGCAGTCTTTGAAACACGTGCATACTTTGGTGTCTCACGGCAAATATAAGACGAGTGGCAAGGGAGAGTATTGATTAAATATCATGGATTGCTTTTTGAATATTTGCAACAAGAAAAGCCTGAATGCCTTGAAGGCAAATGGATGCATAAGTGAAAATAAACAACCCAGGCGAGAATCTTGATGATATCCGAGTGCTTCGGAGATATTCGCGTTTCTCGCTGTTCCAGTCATGAATTTCGTACGGGATTTATGATATAGGTAACAATGAGATAAAAAAAAACGATTTCTAAATACTTTAAAGTCTTAGTGCATAGATAGAAAAGTATTTGGTTCACAGACGTGATTCAAACACACAAACTCAGGATTGAGAGGCCTGAACTTAAGCCACGGTGTGGCCAGGTGAGCAGTTATTACTAAAATTACCTCGGATAGTTTCAACAACATCAGAGGGCCAAGGGGTCGCTTTTTCATACTAAAAATTAAAGTTCTATAAATATATATTTTTTATAGAACTCCTCTGAACACTCTCCATGGTAAATGCGGTAGAAGATGCAGAGTGACCCCACATCTCTACGCAACGCCAAAGGATCAAGCCGCTCAGAGAGGGATTGGTCGTCGACGATTCGAACCGTTGAATACGGTCAAGTGGAAGGAGCTGGTACTGGGGAGCCCCCGCCCAGAGGTAAGAGCAGTACTCCATGTGGGGCCGAATTTGCGCTTTATATAGTTGCAAACGGTGGCCCGGAGTAAAGTACCGTATCGCCTTGCTGAGCACGCCAAGCTTTTTGGAGGCTAATTTAGCCTTTCCCTCCAAGTGACTGAAACTGAACGTCGCTCGATATGTCAACGCCAAGTATTCCAATGCTGGCTGTGGCTTTTAATTTTATATACGTTATTTACTTTGAACTAACTATGTCCCGGTTAGCGTAAGTCTGAGTAATTCATTTGTAGCATTGTTATATTGATTGTTAAATGGACTAACACAAAAATAATAATCAATTCCAACAATCGAAGTTATATTTAATAAAAATAGATATTAATCATTCGAATTTTAAAACTAGTTGCTAACTTAGTACGTGAGAGTAAGTTGGACAACGACACTTGGTCCATTACAAGTTAAAGTAAACTCGAGCTTTCAAGTTTCAAGACTTCAAGAGACGTATTTATATTGAAGAAGTTCAAATACGAACTTTGTGTTGATTCTCCAACTTCTAAAGGACCTCCGACTATTTGTTCAGTAATTATTTATTTCTAAACAATTAAAGAAGAAATTATATAATTCTGACAATCAGAATTATAAAAAAAATATCAAGCAAGAGTTACAATTTAGTTCAGTTATGTAATAACAAATAAAAATTGATAAATAGAATATTAAACCAAATTTAAAAGATTGTTTTTTTGTATGGAATTAGCTGTTGGCCTTAAGGGCCTTTACAGCTCATTTCAGCCATTACAGCCTTTACATAATAATAATAAAAAAGGCAATTAAAACAAATGTAAAAAGTTTGGTC